TTTTGAAAGTGGATGATTTGAGCTTTTTTTTTTTGTAACTATTTTTTTTTTTTTTTTATCTGAATGCCCTCAGGGGTGGTTTGGCTGGCTGGAGTGTTGTGGGGATCGAACTACAGCAACCTGAGGCTGACTTTAATGTGTAATTATTGACAGAAAATGACTCCCATGAGATAGAGGGGAAGCTGACCTACTAGAATCCTGCAGTGGAAAACCTAACTTCTAGGAGTGGCAGCACAGGCAGAGGCAGGGGGATCATGGTCAGCTTGAGGCCAGCCTGGGCTGCCTAGTGAGAGTCTATTTCCAAAGACAAAAAGAAAGCCTTTCTGGGATCCTTGTTTCGATCACACACCCCTCATATCTTCTAATCTTTATAAAGTCCCAGTCTTCAACACTGTTGTGATCCTCACTTGAAATTTGCCTGCTCTTCTCTTGCAGGGTCAGTAAACTTTTTTACATTCCTTTGACCGTTGATAAATTTTTGTACTGTGTGCTGTACCTTTCTTTCACATGCTACACTTCACAGATAAAATGTACAGTGCCCAGTGTGGATACATTGGACAAAGGGATGATTCACATCTGTAGCAGGACTGAGCAAATTGATGTAAGATATTTCAGCACACAACCATGCACAATTTAAAATTTATGAATTATTTCTAAAGCTTTCCATACATTTTTGGGTTATGTTTGACCCATCGGGAACTGAAAATGTTGAAAGTGTTGGAGGCAGCTGAGGTAGATAGAAATAGGAAGTCAGGGTGAGGCCCTCAAGGAGACCGTATAGAATAAAAATGAGTCTGCAACTTTGGGGGAGACAGACTCCCTGGCGTCGGCCCAGACCCCAATACAAAAGTTCAAACAAATGAATAACTCCCTAAGGTTAAACATCAAGCACTGATACTCTAAATAGATCTCTCACCTTGAGGACACATTGGAAAAGTCACTAACCCAGCCCAGCCCACTACAGGAAAAAACCCTGTTCTGTATTCATGCCTGCTTACTCGCTTCCCAATTTGTTCCTGGATTTAATCAGTTTTACCTGAGCAATGGTGCTTCTAATTCTATTGGTTGACCATAATTTTGTCCCACCTCATGCCCATCTAGCAAGTACCCACATTCTCCACCTTAGACCCACCTCACCACATGGTTTTGCTCTATTTAAAAAAATCCCTGGAAAACACATTTGGGCACAACCCACTTGAGTCACCCTCTGTCCTCTCAGACAGGAGCTTTTATCCCCCCAGTAAAAATATTCTGGCCTTTAATCTCCGTTGTTCCTAAAATTCATTCTTCAGTTGTAGAGAACAGGAACTTAACCCAGGTATCTTTCAGGTTGGGAATTTCATTCCCCTATATCAAAAGGAAATTGAAGATGGAAAGTACTGTGTACATAAGCAGTTGAGTCTTGAATTAGATCCCCACCCCTCCTTTTTTTAAATTTTGAGACAAAGTCTAGCAAAATTACCTCAACCTCCTGGAGCACTGGGATTGAATGTATATCCCACTATGCTTGTATCAATTTACTGTTTTTGTTTGTCTTTTTAGATCACAGATTTAAAATGTGACAGTCTGGCATGATGCTTGCTTTTAAGTCAGCACAAATCAGACAACTGAGCTTTTTCAACTCTAGAAATTACATATATGATATAGCAATGTTGTTACTATTTCTGCTTATCAACTCCTGTTTGCATGTCTATGGCTGTTTTCCTAATATACCTGTTGAACTGAGTACACAAGCCACAAGGGTACAGAACCTTGGCTCTTTACAGGAAGTTTGTTTACTTCTTTGGGGCAGATACTCGAAATCATTTTGGTCTCAGTTTCTTTTGTTTCTTTTACAAACTATTCAGGATTCCAGAGTCTTGTTTGATATGGGTTACAGTTATTTTTTGTTAACTTAAAAATAAAATTAAAAGGGCCAGCCAATAGCTCAGTGGATTAAATCATCTGCAAGCAGGCACAGAGGCCCGTGGTTCCATCTCTGGGCCACTGAAAGGGCAATTGAGGCTGGGTGTGGTGCTGCTCGCCTGTAATCCCAGCTCTTGAGAGTCTGTAAACAGGTGGATCACTACAAGTCCAATCTAGTAGTGAGACCCAGAACACTCTATAGACCCTTCCCTAAAATAAAAGCAAAGCAAACAAAAAACGCCAAAAAAAAACAATTAAGATTTTAAATTCCTTTAGCAAATTCATATGAATATAAATAATATTATGAGAAATCAAATGTACTTTGTAAATCTAAAATAGTGAGAACAAGCATTATTTCGTATTTTTGCAAATGTCTTTAATACCTGGTTTAATAAGTCATAGTGGACTCTCACATGTGCATCAGCTATGGCTATGTCACAGTATGTTTAACTGAAATGAACGAGGAAAAGCTGGCCTTGGTTACATATCTAAGAAAAGGATAAGTATTTTCACAGTTCTTTTAGATAATTTTGAATATCATTTTTGTAGTATACCAAAAGTTTACGAGAGATAATTTCTTTCTTTTCTTTTTTTTTTTTTCTTTCCTCGGAACCAGGGATTGAACTCGGGACCTTGTACTTGCCAGGGAAGCACTTAACCTACTGAGCCATCTCCCTGGCCCCTCATAGTTTCTTAAAGATAGTTTTCTTAAAGATAAAAAAGAAAATTCACTGGTCTATCTTGTCCTTTGATCCATGTTTTTTCCCTATATGATTGTCTAACATGGTGTGAGTTTGTGTTTTCTTATTTGGAAAATATGGAAGTTGGTGATTTTGGAAATATCAATTCACTGAGTTAGGGAAAACTTGCAACTTTGATGTATCTCACTATAGAAAACAATTGTTACATTTATATCACACCTGTCTTAGCAACTTTTGTCTCCTTCCTGAGGAAAAAAAATACCCAACATCCAAAGTTAAAAGAGGAAAACTTTATTTTTGACTCTTAGTTTACACATATTTTAGTCCATAGTTGGCTGGTTCCAAGGCAGGGTGGCCTAGCAGAGGGGCACCGCAGAGCAGAAACAGTCCATGATGAAGCAGGGCAGGGGAAGCAGCACAGCAGGGTAGCAGTAAGCAGCATCTTTCTGCCCCTATTCTCTATCCTGGCTACCCCCCCTCACCCACAAGGTGGTGCACCCTTAGTTTCAGCATCACTTGGGAGTCTGGGTTAGGAGGATATCTGTCCCTCCATCCGGCCCCAGGGTTTTGCAGAAACTCCACATAATTCATTGTTCTTCCACTGCAGTTGCCAGGAAGCGGCCTCAGTGACATTGCTCCGCCCACCCGCCAGGGCGGCGCTGGACAGCAAGCATCGTTCTCTCCGCCGAGGACGCCGCTCTTTGCGTTCGCGAGGACGTCGATCTCAGCGGAGACACTTCCTCCCGGGTTTGCCGGGAGAATGAGCCAGTGTTGTGGGCTGTAGGTGTCCGGCGTTCTGCGCGGAGACGGCTATGGAGCGATCGGCGCCCAGCGAAGGTGGGCTCTGTGGGGCGCGCCCGGGCGGGGGGCAGTGGCGGGGCGGGGCGGGGCGGGGGAGACCGGGGCGCTTCACTAATTAGGCCTCCCTGTCCTTGCCGCAGTGACAGCCCCAGACTCGTCGGGACCGGACCCACAGCTGGCGGTGACCATGGGCTTCACGGGGTTCGGTGAGTGACGGTCCGGGCCAGAGACTTTCTTTTGTTTGTGCTTTTCTTTTTCTTTTTTCCAGAGCTGTCATTCTGCCTTGCGCCTGCTCGCTGTGACAACTCCGAATTGCTTTAGCTTCAGCGTAGACCTTCTGTTCTTCTGCTGATCTGTTGAGACCAGTTCAGATGACATTTGTGAGAAACTTTGAGCCGGAAGGGATTGCTTTCGTTACCCACCCGTTTCGACACTTGCTGATGGAGGCTGTTTGTTTGCTTCCTGACAGTCCTTAATGAGATGGACCTTGGGTTAACGAATGGGGATTAAATGGTGTCATAGTGGTTGCTCAGTTCCATTGATTGATTGAGACAGTGTCTCGGTATGTAGTTTAGGCTGGCCTTGAACTCGACATGATTTTCCTTTCTCAGCCTTTGAGCGCTGGGACCAACAGGCATGCACCACCCAGTCTAGTTCAATTCATTGTAGTTCATATATTGCCTTTACAGTCTTCACTTGAGACGGGGCATAGTGGGGTACGCCTACAATTCCAGCATTCAAGAGGCTGAGGCAGGAGAATCACAATGAAGAAAAAGGAAGACTCTTCCCTTCAGTCTTTGAGTGGACCCTACTTATGAGATAATATGTGGACATGTTAAGAGAGAAAGTTCTGAAAAATGTGATTTTGTAGTCACTTGCTAAAAGTATTACCTGTAAAAGAAATCAAATGTAAATTGTAGGGGCCGGGGAGATGGCTCAGTGGAATAAGCGCTTCCCTGGCAAGTGCAAGGGCCTAAATTCAATCCCTGGTTCCTCCAAAACAAACAAACAGACAAAAAAATGTAAATTGTTTTCCACTCCATCCCCGTTAACAGATGTGTAGAGCGCGAGCACTTGTTCATTCATTCTTTCATTCATTTACTTAGCCAATATCTTGAAGCACAAATTTGGTATCCACTACATGTTCATGTCTATGTAAGGGTAATTATAGTACTTGTGTTTATTTCAGGGTTCTTGAAAGTCTTCCCTCTTAATTTCAAAGTAAACATTAATTGTAGAAAATCTAGGAAACAGAATTGCAAGGTGTAAAGTAACATCGTTTTTACTAGTAGAAATCAAACCGATTTGTTTTCACTTTTTTTTTTACTGCTGTGAAATAGGAGTGTATTATGCTTGTGAATAAATTGGTTTATACGTGGTGGCAAACCTATGGCATGTGTGCTGCAGCAGGCTTTATCATAGAATAATGTAAGAGATATCACTGATATAAAGACTATTTTGAGGATTTTCTCGTTATAAAATGGTCTTCTAAAACATGTTTTTATTGTTGTTTTCCTTATGATTAAACCCAGGTCCCCTACTCCACTCATGCTGAAATAATTTTTTTTTGGAGGGGGCGGAACTGGGGATTGAACTCAGGCCCTTGCGTTTGCCAGGGAAGCACTTATTCCACTGAGCCATCTCCCCGACCTCCAAGCTACACTCCTAAATCCATAAATCATAATTTTTAGTGGATAGCACCATAGTAGAAGTGCCATAATTTCTAATACCTTTTAAAACTTTCTTGTAGTCTGTGTTTTTTCCAATAATGCTGAAACATTTTTATGAATAATGTTTTTCTTGTACAGAGATTTTTATGTGCATTTACATAGAATGCATTTCTAGAAGAGGGACTACTTTATTCAGACATAATCGAGTATCTCTTAAAGCTTCTTGATACTGTCTTTTCTTGTCTTTACTTTTTTAAAGTTTATTTAATAGAAAGTATGATAATAATTGATAATCTATTAGTGATGGTAGACATTTAGAAGATCAAGATGAGAGGTAATTCTTGGTACTTATTGGCATAATGCCCTTCACAAAGATTGTTCAGTGTGTACCCACTCAACAGCAGGAAAGAGTACTATTTTTACAATGTCAACCAACACAGTAAAGATAGTAAAACACAAAAGGTAAAATTTGCCAACATGAATATGAAAAATGATTTCTTTTTACTTTGTAATTTATAAGAAAAGGAATTATTTAAGAAAATGGGCCATCCAGATAGGTCAGCGGACTAAAGTGCCTGCTTATCAGGCACAGGGACTGGCGTTGAATTCCTTTTTATTTTATTTTTTTCTTTTCAAAGTTTTATTGATAAACATATAGCAATGAGACAGTTTCAAATCAAATCAAGAGTACAGTTTCAA